TTGGTATGTGTGTATATGTGTGTGTGTGTGTTGATGTGTGTGTGTGTGTGTGTGTGTGATTATGTATGTGTATGTGTGTGTCTGTCTGTGTGCGTGTGTATGTATGTGTCTGTCTTTCTGTCTGTACCGGTGTCTCTGTGTGTGTGGGTGTTTATGCGTTTGTGTGTATGCATGTATGTCTGTGATTGTGTTTGCGCGTATGTCTGTAATTTTGTGTGGAGTGTTAGTGTGTGTGTGTGTGTTCGTTTGTGTGTGTGTATTGTGTGTCTGTTTCTGTGTAGGTGTGTGTATATGTGTGTAAGTGTGTTTGTGTACCTGTATATAAGTGTGAGTGTGTACCTGTGTTTAAGTGTGTGTCTGTGCCTGTGTGTAGGTGTGTGTTTGTGTGTATAAAATTTATATATGTATTTGTATGATGTATATGTGCCTTGTGTGTGTAGTGCGGAACACTCTACATCATGGATGTAACGATACCTATTCATAGCCTAATATGCACATCACTGGCAATGTATTAGATATAGTAAGCAATATCGGCATACCTTAGTCTCTGCGAGTACTGTATCCTTTCGTCCCATAGAGTTATCTTTTGTATCGATTTTGAACATCAGTTCACTGGCAGCCACCTCAAGCGCTTCGCGCTCTTCGTGTAGGCGACGTTGTAATTCAATAACAGATTCCGCCATTGTATATATATATATGTGTGTGTGTGTGTGTGTGTGTGTGTACACTTGTGTGTACACTTGTGTGTATACGTAACTATGTACTTTTATATACTTGTGGCAGTGTATATGACCACTCAAATTGCGGAAGCTAACTTGGAAGACAATACAAATGTTGACTACACGATTCACCAAGCACGTATTGTCGCCTAGTATCTGTTGTTACGATGCTAGCATTAATGTCTTTTATAAATATATAGAAGAAGTGTGTCATATGTATGTTCTAAAAAATATGTATATAGCTATATATAAACGATAAATATATAAATATCTGCATTCATCTTTTGTTAAGAGTATACTCGACACTGTACTGAAACACACTCAGAAAGGTTTTTACCACCACCACAGCTGATTATTTACATTTTGTTGGCACAGGTTAAAAAAACTGCATGAACCTCAACCCAAAGAACTCAATACCTTGCAATTACGACGACGACTACAGTAATCGCAAATTCGTTCTCATCTGAGTTTAAACTACAGAAAGGGCAAATATGATTTCCGATATTCTATTTACGACGAAAACGATTATCGAACACCCACCAGGCCACCGCTTGAAGTATCAACCAGGTTTACAGCTTAAAATTTTTGGCGGTTCATCTGAAATTATTCAACATCACTTTTTTATTGCCTATTTAGCTGCTTCGACTATCGTGTGATCGCCGTGCTATTTATATGATACCTGTTACTATTCATTTACATCAGTATGTATACATACATATACATGTAATGAAGATGCAATAAGTATACTCATGTATCTCTGTGTATACGAATATAAATATACTCTGAGTAATTTGTTACGTGTAGTTTACGAACACACACGATTGTGAAAGGTCCACTTGATCTGTGAGCCGTTCAAAGAAGAGGAGGCAATTTTTTGGCATCGTTGCGTAGTACATGACCGAAGATTGCATCTGGCATTATGTCACACGTATGTCATTAGGGTTTTCGGTTTCAAATTCTTTACGCGATAGTTTCTGTACTTGCAGTCGTCTGTTTTAACGACTCTACTTTTTGTTGTTCACTTTTGGAAACAATGTATGCTAAAGGTATGCATATGTTTATGCTATTTATATATGTGTGTATGTATGCATGTATATATATATATATATATGTGTGTGTGTGTGTGTGTGTGTGTG